AGACTAAAAGCAGATGCCTGCATCAGCTCTGCAAGCCACAGAAAGGAGGCGGGCCAGATCTGAGTGGTGAGTTGGGAGAAAAGGGTAGGAAATGAAGGCAGACAGTTAATAGGGCCCAGGGTATGTGGCCTTAGTGACCATTGAACAGGCTTTGGCATTTATTCTGAGAGATGTGGGATATCATTGGAAGATTCTAAGAAGAGTGACTTGATTTGACTTCTGTTTTAATAAAACCACTGAGGCCATTATAGTAAGATAGGCTGTAGGGGACAAGGCAAAAATGGGGAGACCAGTTAAATTGTAGCTATGATAATAACCCAGGCAAGAGATGTCGATGTTGCCGGATCTCCAAAAATTTTAAGGGAAATGAAATCTGGACGGAAATTACTATTTTAAGAAAATAACAAAGTTTGAATCAACCTAAATAAGACTGTGAGATTCTGTTGTGTGCACATTGTTTGCTACGTCAGCTATAGAATTGGTGATGTAATTCAGAGGAAGGTAAAGACTTTGGTTCAGACTAAGTTGAAAAAGAAAATTTGATTTTACATTAAAATGAAAGCTTGCTTTTTGATCAGTGCAGGAGACCAAGGAAAGTGACTATTCACAATAGCCAGAAGGTGGAAACAATCCAAATGTCCATCAACTGATGGATGGATCAACAAACTGGGATAGAGCAGAATGGAATAGAGCAATTCCCTACTTTATCCAGAGGGGATGTGTTCCAAGACTCCAGTGAATGCTAGAAACCACAAATAATACCAAACTTTTATTATAAATACTATGTTTTTTTATACATACAGACCTGTGATAAAGCTTAATTTATGAATTACGTGTAATAAGAAATTAACAATGGGACTGGGATTGAGGCTCAGTGGTAGAACGCTTGCCTAGCATGTGGGTTCAATTCTCAGCATCACATATAAATAAATGAATAAAATAAAGGTCAATCTTTTCATCTAAGAAAATGTTTTTTAAAAGAAATTAACAATAATAAAATAAAAAATAATAAGATGGTAATAAAACTTAAGCAAATATGGTCTCCCTACTTCTCAAAACTGCTTATTATACTGTACTCAACCTGCTTCTTGTGATGATATGATACAATTGCCTACCTGGTGAGATGAGGTAAGATGAATATCATGCATTGTGAAATATTGTTAGACTACTGTGTGAGGGTTATTTGAACACAATAACTGCAACACTGTGATAACTGAGACAGCCTATAAGTGACTTCCAGGCCAGTAGCATATACTTTGTGGATACACTGGACAAAAGGATTATTCACATGCTGGCCAGGTCAGAGCAAGATAACTGAAGACTTCATCATATACTCAGAACTGTGAACAGTTTATATTTATGAATTGTTTCTAGAATTTTCTATTTAATATTTTCAGACTAAAGTTGAAACTGTAGAAAGTGTAACTGTGATTAAAGAGGAGTCTTCTGTATTATTCAGCCATAAAAAGAAGTGAAAGACTGATAACATAACTCCAGCATAGATAAACCATGAAAACATACTAAATGAAGGAAGCCAGACACAAAAGGCCACATATTATATGATTTTGTTTGTATGAAATACCTGTAATAGGTGCAAATTCAGAGACAGAAAGCAGATGTGATTTCCTAGAGAATATGAGTTGGGAGATTGAAGAGTGACTGTTTCACGGAATGGGGTTCTTTCTGGGGTAGGGAAAATGTTCTGGATCTATATAATGGTGTTTGTTGTACCATATCATGAATATACTAAAATGTCATTAAATTGCAATTTTAAAATGGTTAAAATGTTGAATTTTATTTTATTGAATTTTACCTTATCTAAGAAAAGAAAGATAATGGTATTCAGAAGAAATTTCATATTTTTTTTTTCTTATCTTGGTTACAAGTAGCTGATTAAGCTAGAGTGGAGTCTTTTATGGTCAATGAGAGTGGAAAAAGGTTGGGCCCTGAAGAAAGATTGGTGCTTTGGAAGTACAAGTTGAAAATTTAGTTTCAAAGCAAAGGAACTAGTCTCTGTGATACCACTATTGACCTGATGGAGTTTTGTGATCATAGACCAGAAGTATCAAAATTAGGGTTTCTTTTTCTTTTATCAGATATCCTTATTATATGACTGCTGATTATAAAAGCATATTGTTAAAAATTTAAATATTTTATAAAGCTCCTTTACAATGAAAAAATAATCAAAGTTTCTTTAATTCTTTTACCCTCTGCTCCTCATAACTCTTGAGAGTTATCAAGACTTTTTCAGTGCATAGGCTTATCATCAGTCACAATCACTACCACCATCATCATCACTTTTTCACAAAAATGGATACATTATATGTATGGTATTTTTTGCACCTTAATTTGGGGCGGGTACCAGGGATTGAACCCAGGGGCACTTAACCTTTGAGCCACATCCTCAGGCCTTTTTATTTTGAAACAGGGTCTCAGTAAGTTACTGAGATGGCTTTGAACTTGTGATCCTCTTCCCTC